AATTTATATACAAATCTAATATGGTTCTAGCATTGATTTGAGTTACTCTCTCCTAGAGCTTTGGTCATTCCTCAGCCATGAATGTCTTGGGAGTATTTCAGTTCTTATCTAGAAGCTCTTCTAACATTGCTCTGGTTCTCTCTCTTCAACCTGTGTTGTTTGCTTATGATGTATGCTGATCTGGTCACTTCTGTTAAGGCTGACATACTAATAACAGAACTCTCTTGCGTCCTATTAGCATCTGTTTAAAGTTTAATCCTTAAATTATAGGCTTTCTTCCTTAAGGATTTGGCAACTGGATGTTAATGCTCTTGATATTTTTTTAGTGTACATGCTATTATATCTTGTATACTTTATATACATGTAAAGTTTGAATGCAATGTCATTTATACAAATCTGTGCTGAAAGGGTGCTTTTACTACCTGTATAACTCCTCCAAAATGCCTGAAAAATATCTTCTATTTTGTTGGCTCAAGATGCAATGAGAGGATGGACAGAGAAGGGTAGGAAGAGAAAATTATGGTAAGTCCTCACTTAATGTCATCAATGAGTTCTTGGAAACTGAGACTCTAAGCAATACAACATATAAGGAAACCAATTGTAATGTAGGCTAATGCATAGAAACAAGAATTAAGTTCCCAAGGCGTATTTCTGGTCACAAAAACAAAACCAAACTTCGATATAAAGACGCAAAATACTTCTAATATTAAACATTGAGATAAATGTGAACTATCTACACATTTAAGAAAGATGAATAAAAACGAGTAAGATAATTATCTTCCACCCGCTTATTTCAGTTCAGGTCCCAAGTGGCCAGTGCCTCTCCTGGCAGCTCAGAGAGGATGGGAAAACCCACCCCGGACAAGGACACCCTTCCATCTCAGGGCACACTGACACCCATGCCCGCACTCACTCAGACTGGGACACTTTATACCAACCACTTCACCTAGTGTGCACATCTTTGGGGTGTGGGAGGAATCTGGAATCCCTGGAAAAAATCCCACTCCTACATGAGAGAATGTGCAAACTCCCAACTGGGAATCAGTTTTTTTCTCATCAACGTTATAACGAAAAGACATTGAACCAAATAACTTATTCGAGGACATGCTATATAGCAAAATGGAATACATCTACTATTCTGGTTGTGCACTGCATAGAAGACTCTTTTATTGTTCAAATGTCCTTTTTTTCTACGTTTCTTGTCTCTCATTAAATGCGTGGTCTATGACCTTGTGGCAGGGCTTAGCTAATTAGAAGCTTGGCTGTTGTTGAACTATTTCATGCCTGTTGCTTATGGCTTATTTAAGGAAATGTAAAAGCAACATCTGGATCATACATTGCTTCAAATCCTTGACAGAACAAGGCAAGAATTAATAAATATCATAAAATAACAAGCATGATTAAAAGTTTTTTAGGGATTACCATTAAGAATTCTCTCCTTTGGAAATTCTTACCAAACTTTTTGCTTATGTCTCCTACCTTAAATTTTAAACTTTACCTTAAGTTTTCCAGTATGAAAAACTGTGTGTCTAGCATGTGACTTTTAAGTGATCACCTATGACTTCTCAGGGGCCCAGAACATTATTGCAGTACCACAGTAATATCTACTCTTATTATGAATGATATCTCTTAGATAACGCACATAAATTCGAGTGGTGCAAACATGGCGTGCTGGTCTTTGGTAATGTCCAATGTCTTTGCAGTCAGCCTCAGGTTTTCATGGTACTCTTCCTCCAGATGCAAAGACTCTTGTCATGTCACCAGTGTGGCAAGAATCAAAGTTAAGGTTAAGTCTGATAGTATCTTTATCCTTAAAGTTAAGGTTAAGTCTGATAGTAACTTTATCCTCCAATGATCTTGAGAAAGACATGCATGTTTTCTCTGTATTTGAGTAAGTTTCTTTATGCTTGTATGCACAATATTTATTGATTAATTACTTTCTTCTGCAAAGGTTGCTTTAAAAATTTTTTTACCTTGAAAGGCCATGTGACCACATTTTCTTCAATAATGCCTCCGAGTTAAAATTTAGTGTTTTTCCCTACCTGTATTTATCCTTAGTTTGTTAGAACAAGATAGAATAAGTTTGTGTACCAAAATTTGTAACTTCATTTCTGAAGCACTCAATTTTAATTCCAGAATGCAGCTATGTGTGTATATAGCAGATATAGGGCAACAACAGGATACTTCTATTTTACTTTTGATTTTTATTTATTACCCTCAAATTACATTTGGCCTTTATGGAGATATTAACTGAGTTCATTTTCAACTTGTGTCCAACAAGGTACCATTAGTTTTTCATGGTATTTTGCTTAGGAACAATATTCACAACTTTAACAAAAATACTTATTCTATAGTTTGCACTACTTCACTTTCTAGCCTGTGGATAAGTTATTGCTCTCGGCATTTTGTTTGTTGCATTCTTTGCATCTTCTTGACACACACTAGCCTTTTTATATTTTTTGACTACATTCTATAAATTGAATACTGTGTACAGTGTTCCTATCAGAGCTTTTATTGCATAATGTTTTATAGCCCTTCTGAGATCTATAATCTCTCTTTATTACTTTTCCCTATTCTTTTATCTGTCCAAATTATGAATTGCTTTGAGTCTTGTCCCCTCCTTAATTATTTATGCTTTGCACTGGGTGAATTCTGGTGCTTTCCAAAAGTTATTTGCTTCTTGCAGCACTGAATCTGGATCTTTCTATGTTCTGAGAGTCTCTTGCCTCTTTTTCTAATCACGATTTGATCTCTGACTTGAATTCAGATGGTATCTAAAAGTTCAAGAAATATCATGTGGGCTTCTTTGGAAAATACATTCTGGTACAGCCCTAGATACTTTCACCATGCCATCATTTAGGATTCAGCTGCTTAGAACAGAAAAACCAAATACAGAAGCCTAAACAAGCAAAAAAAGTTTATTTTTCTCTTTCTGTAAAAGAGCTCCAGTGGCAGGCAGCCTAGGCTGGTATAGTATCTCCATAGTCATTATGGACACTTTCTTCTTTTTGCTCTACCATCCTTGGTGAGTGGCTTATTTTCTTACTTTGCTTGTTGGCTGTTAAGGTGGCTGCTGCAGCTCCAGCTGTCACATCCACGTTCCAGAAAGTAGCAAGAAGAAATTGAAATGGAAAAACTGAAACAACTGCCTTTAAAGAGCTTCCCTGGAAGTCCCATCCAATGGTTTCCAGTTAAATCTTATGGCTAGCTTGGCACATTGCTTCATATAAAATAGAAAGGAAGTTAACTGAGAAAGAAGAGGAGAATAAATATTGGTTAAACATAGCTCTTTTTCTAGGGCTGATGACCCTTCTCAAAGATGACTCTTTTGGTTTCTACCTGTGGGAAACATTGATTCCTTGCATTATTGAGTATTCTTCCAAAGTTGTTGCTTTTGCAATAAACTATATCTTTATCCCTTTGTAACTTTAGTTTTGTTACTGAAAGCCAAGGCTTTAGAAGTAAAAAATCTTTTATCTCTCTAAAAGCCTAGGTCTTATAATTTAATATTTTGTTTTTTAAGATGATTGTCTTTGCCGTAAACTTTAAAAATCCATTCAGGACAAAATATCCCTTCAGTAAATCACTTGATTCTTGTTACTATCCTGAATGTAGCCACTTGAGACAATACAAATAGAAAGCTTTTGCTGTTGCCTGAACAGGAGAAACTAACTGCAAGGAACCTTGGGTAAGATTTGAAAATATTATCTAGTAAATAAATGACAGTAATACAAGCCAGAAGAGTGATGCAGTTAAAGGGGTTAAGAAGTGCAAGAAGCAAAGAATTCAGACTGGGGACAATCAGGGAAGATGTCCCAGGGCAAGGGACCATTAGTGCAGTTCATCCTTGAAAGACTCCCAGAAATCAGAATGTGTGACTTTGCAGAGTGCAGAAACAGCACAAGCTATTTGAGGGAATTATGCAAAAATAAAAAATAAAATAAAATAATAGAAAATAGAAAATATACTTTGCATGGCACCGTCATCGGCCAACAAATACTTATGAAGCATCAACTCTGTCCAGGTTGCATGTTAAGCTTGAGGCTTCAAAGGTGAAAATATTTCATTTCTGACGTTTAGGAATTAGAGGTCTTGTTAGAGGAAATAGATAAATAAATAACAAATTATAGTATTTTGACCAATGCTATATTTGGGGTATAAGGAATAGTGGTGAATGAATACATTCATTAGTAAGTATTTATTGAAATAAGTACCTCCCAGACTCTGTGGTGACAGTTGCTGGGGACACGGAGGGAAAGAAAAGCAGACAGTGCCTCTGAGCTCCTTGAATTTACAGCCTAGAAATGAAAGAGGAAATCTAATGGCCGGGCATATAGAATGGGCCGAACTTTCATGTTTGTATCCTGTTGTGAAATCAGGGCTATAGATGTGGACATTTTGCTGTTAATATTTTAAAACATGTAATAATTTCTTTATTTGAAAAGGACTCTAACAGCTTCCTTAAGAAAGTTTAAATGAGCACTATTCACTTTACAACGTTTTTAGACTTTCTTTTGCTGGCATAACACTGAAAATTCAAACGAGAGGGTTATAAAATGAGTAAATAGAGGTTATTCCTGGCGAGAAAAATTTGAAAACCCATTTTAGATTTTTTTAACTGTCCATTTGTATCACAACACTGGTATACACAACCTATTCTGTCTCTCCTGTTAGAGCCAAAGCATCTGAAAATTGACTAAAATATGCATCTCATCACACTTGCCTTTTTTCTGAACTTAATAATTAAACTGCATTTGTCGAAGGCCTCAAGTGTTCCTGACCAAGGTTAAATCTACAACAGAACTTTCATTTGTTCACTTGACAAAGGGGTTATAACCTATTTGGGGAGATATGTCATTCATCCATGGAAACTGAACTTAAAATTCTAAGGTTAGATTGAGTATACAGAAGTTCCTTGTGGCAAGAAGGAAGCTCCAGTTGGATTGATCTAATTGAAATAGTTCGATAAGCACTAAGCATCACATTCAACTGTCTTGCAGGTCCTTCATTCTTTTACTGATGCCATTTTTGATGAGTGGATGAAAAGATTTAACCCCTCTGCGAATGCCTGGCCTCAGGAGTTGGCACCCATTGGTCACAATAGGATGTATAACATGGTTCCTTTCTTTCCTCCGGTGACTAACGAGGAATTTTTTTTAACCGCAGACCAACTTGGCTACAGCTATGTTATTGACCTGCCAGGTAACTAATACAACTTCTAAATGGATGATTCATTCATTTTTTTAAGGAGCTTTCTTTCTTTCTTATTTTAAAAATGTAAACCAAGACCATAAATTGAAGCATTCAGGTCTTGTTTATAGGCAATTTTCTAAAATGAATATCAAAATGAGCCTTTAAAGTATTAATTAAACATCAGAAAAGGAACCAGTTGGATGACTGTTGTTTCAGAAAACTGAAAGTTGTTAAGAAACCTTATTCCATAGAGGAAGTATCTACTCCTACACCTGATTTGACAATTTCATTTGAATTAATTGAAAACTGGCCATGTGTAACCAGTAAAGTCAAAATGCACTTGCCACATGTGTACAGCAACTTACAGGACTTAGAGATCATAACTTAAAGGTAAGGCTGGGTTTAGAGTGAGGCAAGTGCAGCACTTGTCTTGAGTGCAAAGGTCAAGGAGAGGCCAAAAAATTTAGTAATTGAGATAAGTAATACTATAATGCAATATTAAAAAGTAAACCAAAATTAATGCAAAAAAATCTATGATAAATTCACTATCAAAATTTTAAACAAAGACAGGCTGTTTGTTTGTTTTATATCTCTGCATTATTTTGTAAGTAAATCAATTTTTCCCAATTAGCTTATACCTCCCCTGCTAGGTGGATTCGTGAAGCTAACAATGGCCTGCTTACAGATTGGGCTACATGGGGCTTCATGTATATGTTTTATAAAGTAATGTTTTTTAAGTCATGTTTTTAAATTGTAGATTTTTAAATTAGCTTTTCCCAGTTGGTTCAAAATATGGGAGAATATTTTGATACATATATATAGGGGCACACATTTTTTTCATTTGCCTAGGCTCCAATATAGTTCCACGTGCCATTTAAAGAATCTTAGTTTGCAATATGTGTAAATATCAAATCATTATGTGGTACACCTGAAATTAATACAATGTTGTATGTCAATTATACCTCATTAAAAAGAAAGAATCTTAGAACAGTTTGAGAAAGGAAAGGTAAAATGTTAAAAAATATATATTAATTTGTCTAGAAGCTGAAGAACACACAGCCCATCTGCCAGGGGCTCTTCCCCATTTGTGTCTATTTCATCTTCCCTAAATCTCAGCCTACAAAGTAATCGAGACAACTTTTTAGCTCACATCTCTCTCACTCTCTGACTTCAGAGTCTTTTAGGCCCTGGAATCAGTCCTCTGCTTTTTCTTCTAGTTTTCAATTACTGTTGCTTATTCTCCTTACTGATTTAAAGTTTCATTTATTTGGGTAGCTGAGGATATCTCTTTGAAACTTCTTTTTCTTTTCTCTGGGACTGAACATAATAATAACCAAAAATTTTGCAACGTGCCTTTTGACCATGTTTCTATCTCCTCTGAAATTAGCCAATTAATAGGTATAGACTGAGAATCCAAATATGCCCAGAATGCCCAACTCATCAGAAGATATAAATTTGTGTTCATTAATCGTTTTGACAAAGAAATTTACAGTCCCATCCGGGGATTATAACCAAAAGTTAGAGATGGGAGTGAGGAATTTGGGAAAGAAAGTAGGTCTTGAACTAGATTCAAAGAGATGGTAGATCTTAGGTAGGTGAGAAGGGAAAAGGGAGCATTTTAGATTGAAGATGGGCAGGGAATAGAAGTACGAAAGACACATGTAATCTATAAAGGGGACTGTGTGGAGAAAGCCTGGCTGTAGTGGAAGGCTTAGGTAGAACATAACTGTGAATCAAAGTTGAATCTGTGAGAAGGGCCTGAGTACCTAGGGCCTTAAAAGCTAGGCAGAAACCATGATGAGATACCACTTTAAGCCCATTAGGATGGTTACTACCAACGCCCTCCCCTCCCGCCACACACACACACACTCAGAAAATAACAAGAGTCAAGGATTGAAACCCTTGTGCACTGGTATTTGGAATGTAAAATGGAATAGCCTCTGTAGAAAACACTCTGGCAGTTCCTCAAAAATTAAACAGAATTACCATTCGATCCAATAATTCTACTTCTTTGAGTACTTGTAAGCAAGTTCTCAAACAGGTGTTTGTATACCTCTGTTTATAGCATTATCATTCACAAAGCACAAAAAGTGGAAGCAACCTAAGTGTCCACTGATGGATGAATGGATAAATAAAATATTGTATATACTTACAATGGAGTATTATTCAGCCCTAAAAAGTAAGGAGATCTTGTCACATGTTACAACATGGATGAATCTTGAAGACATTATGCCAAGTTAAATAAACCCGTCACGGAAGGACAAAAAATATGAGTCCACTTGTGTAAAGTATCTAGAGTAGTCAAATTCATAGAAACAGGAAATAGAATGATAATTGCCAGGATTTGGGTTGAGTGTAGGGGTTTGGAAGTTACCATTTCAGTTTTGTAAGATGAAAAAAGTTCTGTGGATAGATGCTGATAATTGCACAACAATGTGAATGTACTTAATGTCACAGAACTGTACACTTAAAAATAGTTAAGATGGTAAAATATGTTATGTGTATTTTACCAGAATTAAAAAAATAATTAAAACAAAAGCTAGGCCAAAGAGTTTGGACAATAACAAAAGACAAACCTTTTTGGTTTCTGACAAAGAAATAGCAGCATAAAACTCTGTGTTTCTAGAAGCTGAGGCTGGCAACAGATGCCGCTGGATTGTAGCAAGAGGGACAAATTTAAATCCTCTTGGAGGAATCCTATTGGGATGAGTCAGAGCCCTCTGTGGGATTGGAGAAAAATAACTAGGAGGAGAATCTTACATTTAGGTAAGTGTAGGGTATAGAACAAAAACCCAGTTCACAGAAACTGAATTTAAGAACAGCTGGCCAAGAATAAGATAATTTTTAAAGAAATGACAAATAGGCATAAATATACTAAAAATGAAATCCCTTAATTTTGTGGAAGAATGCTTATAAAATATATTTGAGTAGAAGATCTAATTTATCATGTAGGAGATTCAGAATTTATTCACAATTATTTTAATGGGTATGAATTTCATCTGCTCCTGCTACTGAACGTTTTCTGTTACAATAGCCATCTGATCTTTCTTATACATTTATCACCCTGTAATAAAAGGTAGAGACAACAGCAGAATTTCTCCACCTGAAGGTTGTATATTTTTCGGTTCCACGGATACCATTTTAGCACGTACTTTTACAAATGAATTTCTAACTCACAGAAGTAGTTATCTACTTCCTTAGAGGATTTATTCTGTATGAGTATTTATTGTAAGAAATTTTTAAAATGCAATAAGCTATATTTAAGTAATGGAATTCCATTTCCCACATCCTCACAAAAAATTATGGATATAATAAGTAGTGAGGAAGGAGAAGATAAATTTTATTCTAGCCAGTGTAGTTTTGCTTTATCAACAAAAATGCATGTGAAAGATAAATTACTTTATTCTTTCCTTTTTGAAAAGTATTCAGTTGGTGAAAATCCCAATCGTAGACCTTTTTCTTCTGCTTTAATTTCAGTTGAAGAAACTCCAAGTTGGAACACAACCCTCTCGGTGGTTGTGGGAATACTGGTGGCTTTGATTGGTCTCTTGGTGCTGTTGGCTTTTCTTCAGTATAGAAGACTTCGAAAAGGATATGCACCCCTAATGGAGACACATTTAAGCAATAAGAGGTACATGGAAGAAGCCTAAGGAACTCACACCTTACCTTAGAAAAGAGGCTGGCCAAGCTGAGGTTGGGACCCTGACAATGAACAAACTAATCCTCACTCTTCCTCCTTTAGCTGAAGATTTTAGGCAGCTCCTCCTGTTATGATGGTCCCAAACACAGAAAATGCTTAGCTATAGTCTCTGGTTTGCTTTTTTGGGTAACAAACTCAAGCTAAAGTGCTTAAGGCTATATCTGCCATCAAACCAATGTAAAGCTGACAATTTGTGGCCTCATAATAATTATCCATATTGATTAAGCCTCCTCCTGTTTTGAGAGCACAAAAAGAAATTGATAGAGTGGATTCATTGTAATTTGCAGGTCAGTGCAATTTGAGACTTGGACAAGATTATGGTTCAATCTTTCTTAGCCCAAGTGTCTTCATTTGTAATGGAGTGGCAATAAATGGTGGACAGGACTACATGTGTATAAATCAATTATACGTTAAAAGCACCAGGAGGAATTACTTTTTATAGGTGAACTATTATAAACAATTCCATAAAGCAAATAACCACCTCTAGCTTATCTTTCAGGTATATCAGAATTTTTGTATATCATATTCTCATAAGATTTGTTTAAAGCAAGATCTATTGGAGGTAGAAGTAAAGAGTAGTCTTTTATATTTAGCTACTTCTATCTATAGGGCTTAAAACTTTTTATTAATATTATACTTAATAATGTCTTCCTAAGAGAAATAATTTCCTAACATATAAGAGGAATAAAATTTTCTAACATTACAATAAATCAATGATGAATGGCTTTAAACAAACTTAAAGGTAGAACAAACCCATAGAATATAAAAGTTGATATTCGCTTACATTGAATATTATGCAAATAAACTCAGAAAATATCACCAAGCATTGTAGAGCTATTCTTCTCAATGATAGGGGAAAATTCAACCTTGAAGAAAATGAATACATAACTCTATATGCTTATCTTCAGTATTAGAAAAATTGTATGTATATAAATTATGATTTCAAAAGAAATGTTTTATAAAACTAACATTCAAAGTGAAATTTTATAACATCTTTTCTTTGTGAATTAAATTCTCTTCTAATTCTAAAATTCTTTGACATTAATTTGTGTCTCGCTTAAGATTTAACATTGTTTATTTTAATAACCCTATTGAGTAATTTTAAACTCACATTAAAATGAAGTAGAAAACTTATTAAAGAGGCAAATAAAAATTAATGTTGTTTTGCACATTATTGTGCATCTGTTGGGGATTATTGTTTTTTAATTCGTGAGCATCAATTTCCATCTTTATATATGTATGAATATAAGTATATATGATAAGAAATATCTAGTTCACTTTTGAAAATAAATATACATAATAGCGACTTCACTTTTAAAAATATGTTTTTAAACTGATGTTTCTACTTTCTTTTGAGTTTCTAAGCAATTGCTACTTCCTGGCTCATTATTATACAGGTAAGAAAATGAGACACCAGCATTTTCCCAGGTGAAGAGTAATTATTGATGTCCCCACAGTCCAAAGATTGATCTTGGGGTGGGAGTAGTAGGGTGGCTACTTCAAGTCACTGACCAGGGAGGAGGTGTTCTGCAGCAACTAATTTACCTATCCTTTTGAAAAGCCTTCCAGGTTAGTCACCTTGTTGGAAATCCCGGAAGAAGTAAGTTAGAACCAATGTGGTAATAGTTATGTCTTGTTTGCTTCTCCATCTAGACTTAAAATTTCTAGAGGTCAAGTTGTACACCTCTCTCTACAGCTCCAGTGACATGTATCAAAGCGCTTCAAGTACTCAGAAAATGTTGGTGGTCAATTGATAAAGGCACATAAAAGAACCAATTCACCCTACAGTGGAGATAATTACTCTCCTTAATGCAATGGCAAAACCCAAGATTGAATGAACCCTTCTATTTCTACAGTGCTTTGCTTATCCTGAATATTCTATGAATATTTTTTAAATGAATAAATTAATTTCAAAGTAGAACTTGAACTGTGAAATAACAATTTACTTTTCAGATTTTGAGTCAGACATATGATAGGTGGAATTTGACTCCATACAACCTAATACAAAGTTACACTTTTCAGACATATTTTCTTCTTGGGCCTATCTTCTCCCCACCATTGGTAGGCCTTAATTCTACCATTTGTAGGGACAAAGATAGGGAGTTAAGGCCTTACAGTGTCATTTTAAGGCTCCCCAGTTTCTGATGTCTTAAAAGCCTTGTTTCAGTGGAAGGAGTTTGTGGGCAAAACCGGTGCCTTTTTACTCCAGTGGGCCCAAGGGTTTCTTTAGAAATTCTCTAAAGATGACATATTACTTTGACTTTAGCTATACTGGCAGTTCAAGCCATAAATAACCCTTGTGAATTTAATTTTGCTTTGGCAGATAGTTTGATGAAATCTTGAAAACAACACAGAAGAAAATTATGAGCAATGGGATAAGTTTAAGTTTTCTAAAAGCAAACTAAACAATGTCTTTTTGGTAGAAACCATTAATTCAATTGTGTTATTTGATACAGTGACTGAAGTGAGATTTTTTGGATGTAATAGAACTGAATTTGGTCCTTTCTTCTTCTAGCCATTTTCTGCTCCTTTGGAGGTTTATAAACTTAAGATAAAACTATCACGGTGTCTTCCAAATATAATTATTCTCTGTGTTGTAAATAACATCTCATAGAAAGGCTTAAACTTGTCCTTCTTTATTAAAATACCAGAGATTTCCTGCCAGAGTACACACTCTGATTACTCATTCACTGTGCATGTTGCTGAGCGTTTTTGAATATGCAATTAGCACAATGACCTTTCTGATTAACAGCATAGCTGAATCGGGCTGACGATAAAGCAAAACCTGCCCTCTTGTGTTTTATTAGAACATTGCACAATGTGGTAAAGTTTTTATAGCTACTTTCTTCTTCTACCATTGTTAATTGCCTGGGTCAGCATAAAAAACCAAATGCTGGAAGATTTGCTCTGAATTCGAAAATCAGAACAGATAAAGCACAATATTTAGAAGGAAATGATCTCCTGTGCAGGCAAGGTAATCACATAATTAAGGCTCTTTGAATTTCCTTTGAAATATATTTTGAAATGTTAAGTGTTCACCAGCAAGCCATAAAATTTTGGGGAAACATTTCAGGCCACTGGGCAAAATACTTTTATGCTTGTCAAAAACATACAGGCTATACTTTAGTTAAATATTATTTGTATGATTATACTGCATCTGGAGATTGGGGAGTTTTTTGTTTGTTTGTTTTTCAATTAAAAACTGTTATCAAGAAGGTGATAAAATTTGGGAAAGATTTTTAAAAAAATACTGCATCAGTGACTTGAAACCGAATATAAATATCTGAATATGGGCGTGGGTGTGAGCAGTGTCAGATAATGTTCTTCACTGTGGAAAAGTCACTTTTCAAGACTGAACTTTTGGCATGATGGCGCCAAAAGCAAATATTTATTTGGGTGCCCACAGTGGCTTATCTTATATTAGGTGATTAAAGAAATACTCAAATAATAAAGAAAACATGCTCTCTAGCTAGTTTTTCTAAAGCTTTTCATTCTAGAATATGTACCTGGTTAAGATTAAGGGCAGGAAGCAGGACCAGGGTACTTGTATGCACTGAGAAATTTTAAGTGAAAAAATTGGGGCTCCAATTTTCCAGCTGGCTCTACCTGCTATGCTCCTTCTCTGGAGGTTCTCTCTGATTCCAGACATTGTGAGAGTAGCTGTTCATATGTAGAATAGAGAAAGGCCACCCCGAAAATATTCCCCTCAAAACAAAAAACAAATTGGGGAATTGGGGAGTCAGATTTGAAACACTTAGAATGCTGCCAGAAGATGCAGTCTTCCCTGGAGGAGAATCATTGATTTATTCCCTATCGATAAATACGTTATTAAATGGCATGCTTTACTGAAAACTTAATTTCCAAAGCAGTGAATTTATTATTTAAGTTTCTACTTGAGGTCTCATCTCCAATATTTTAATTTTCTTCTTTAAAAGCAAGTTTTTTCTTGACCATTGCCACTAATCAGTTTTTTCCTTCTTTAAAGAGTATCTGAATTTCAAAGTCTCGCATTTCACACCGAGGAGGCATGCTCAGCTAAAATGCACACGTGTTGATGCTTTAAGTCAGACCTCCTTATGCAAGCAAATGATCAGCCTTGAAAACTGAAATGTAACCTAAATCATTATCTGTGCATTTACCTATTGTGCCTCTTTCTCATCTTCACTTGTGGCAAGTATACAACTTCCAACATTTCAGTTCTGAAACTCTCATTTCGGCTGCACATTTTCTTTTCATTTCAGGCATTTTACAATTCTGAGGCTTGTAACATTTCATAGACTCAAGGTTGTTTTCTTTCTTTCTGTTCATTTCTCTCCTCAGGGTGTCCTCTTATCAAGATGCAGGCTTCTTTGTGTTTTTAACACTTTTATTTGAGATAGTCCCAACTCTTTGATCCTGTGCTAACTCTAAATCGTGCGCTGTCAGCCATCCAGAGAGCAGATCTGGTGCATCTTGGGCGCGCTGTCTGCCAGCTCTTGATAGCATCATCGGGCCTCTCCAACAATCAAAGGGCTCTTCTAACCTCGTAACATGCAAATTTGTTCCTTTTCTGCTTCAGTCTGTCACTGCCCTCATTTTCCAGCTTAGCTGCACAAAAGCAGGCATGATAAAATCATTCTCAAGTTGACATTGGATGTCATGGATGTAAATTCACTGTTTTTAAACAATAGCTACTCAGAAAATCAAATTACTGTAAACTCACCTCGAAGCTAGATGGCTGCCTTGGATCTAGTTTTCTGATTGCTGGAGAGATGATGCAACTGAGTGTCTTTTATCACAGAGCAATCTTGCTCACCTTTGTTGTAGCTGTCAGAAGGGAAGAACTCTGTGCTCCCAGGAAGATTTTACGGAGACTTCCCGGTATGTACCTAACTATACATAACCACGGGAGAAAACAAAGACGCCACAGCTCAGTTCACATTGCTGTCAGCTTTTCCCTGCTAGGGCTTGTTCCCTTCTTTTATACAC